TAATACTTCGTACAAAAGCCTTTGTTGGTAATGACAGCTTCAAGACGCCTCCTGTATGGAGAAACTAGTGGCATGCATTGCTCAGGTGTGATTTTGGCCCATTCTTCCACACAAACGGTCTTCAAATTTTCAAGGTTCTGTGGGCCTCTTCTATGAACTCTGATCTGTAGTTCTTTCCATAGATTTTCTATTGGATTCAAGTCAGATGATTGGCTGGGCCATTCTAGCAGCTTTATTTTCTTTTTTAAACCGAATGAGAGCTTCCTTGGCTGTGTTTGGGATCATTGTCTTGCTGAAATGTCCACCCTTGTTTCATCGTCATCATCCTGGTAGATGGCAGCAGATTTTTATCAAGAATGTCTCGGTACATTTTTCCATTCATCCTTCCTTCAATTATATGAATTTTTCCAGTGCCACACCATGATGTTTTGGGGTGATGTGCAGTGCCATTTGACCTCCAAACGTGGTGTGTATTATGGCATCCAAAGAGTTTAATTTTGGTCTCATGATCGGACCAGACTATATTCTCCCAGTATTTCACAGGCTTGTCTAAATGTGGTGCAGCAAACTTTAAACGAGCGTCAACATGCTTTTCTTCAGCAATGGTGTCTTGCATGGTGAGCGTGTACAATATACAGGCCACGGCGGTTGAGTGCATTACTTATTGTTTTCTTTGAAACAATTGTACATGCTAATTCCAGGTCTTTCTAAAGCTCTCCACAAGTGGTCCTTGGCTCTTGGACAACTCTTCTGATAATTATTTTCACTCCTCTGTCAGAAATCTTGTGAAGAGCATCTGGTCGTGGCCGGTTTATGGTGAAATTCTGTTCTTTCCACTTCTGGATTATGGCCCCAACAGTGCTCACTGGAACATTCAGGACTATAGAAATCCTTCTGTAACCAATGCCATCAGTATGTTTTTCAGTAAAAAGGTTGCGAAGGTCTTGAGAAAGTTGTGTGACACGTTGGTCATGAGAAACCTTTTTATAGGCCATCAGTTGAGACTAAACCAGCTAATATTAATTTCCACTGACAAGGGGCAGGATTGCTTTCTAATTACTGATACGTTTCAGCTGGTGTCTTGGCTTTCCATTTCTTTTTGCACCTCCCTTTCTTCATGTGTTCAATGCTTTTTCCCTGTCTCGTTCCATTTTATAACACATAACTTAATTTCTGAACTTATTTGTATTGTTTTCTTTGTATGTATGGTTTACTTGGGTTGTTACCGACATCTGGTGAAAATTTCATGTCAACAGCACCTTTAGAAATATATTTACTGAGAAAAATGGTGACGTGTTCAATACTTATTTTACCTGCTGTATATATACATTATATATGCGCATGCTGCAAAATAAACAAAATTTAAATAAATCAATTATAGAATACATTTATTAATTTTGTTATTTTCTGGAATTAAAACCTGTTCACACTGAGATGAATATTGTGTGCGAGATCAGTGCGAAAAACATTTTAATTTGAATGAACGTATGCTAATGCATCTATTCAGACCAACACAAACATTTGCACAGTGTCAATGCAACAATAAAATAAAAACATTAAATAATAAAT